GTCTCATGCTCATAAACTTTGAAACTTCTAAATGTGCTAACGATATTGCCAGAGAAAGCCCGTGGTTTAAGGTGTTGTCAGTCAAGGTTTCAAATGATGATTGTTGAGCGAAGGTCCTTGTTTGAAACCCACCTAAAGATGGAAGCGATTTGTTTATTTGGATAGACAAATGGATGCTGGGCTTATACAGGTGTGGTCAGAAGTTTACATACATTTATTGGAATGGATATAATCAGAATTTGGGGCTTTTCTGGATTTTTCTTAGCTGTTCTTTTTCTGGTGTGAAATAACTGTACAGCATACTTTTAAATACTTACATAGTCTTTAATCACTTTAAAAAAAAAAAAAAGGGGATACAAAACTGAAAATATAATAGAGATATTTCCAAAACACACACAGGGAAAAAAACACACACACACGCAAAAACACCCTGTATATATAGACCAAAAACAGGAGAGAAAACACAAAAGAGAAAATGGTAGATGTACACAAATTGAGAAGTCTTCTTTGGAGCCATTTCTAAACAATTGCAGATCCCAAGATCAAGATCAAGATCATCATAACATAAGTAGAATTTTTATAGATGTGACACAACTTTGTCAAGCTATAGAAGAAGACCCAGGGCATCATTCTTAGAAAAGCAGAAACTGGTTAGGATGTTTGGGAACAAACAGGGACTGCCATTTATTGGAAAAAGCAGGAACACCAGTGTCACTGTCTATTATGATGCAAGTTTTACATCACTACAAACTGAAAGAGCGCCAACCATGAAACAAGCCCCTGTTTCAAAACCAACCATGCCTTACTGAAACATTCAGTCAATCTTGACAAGCCAAATGCCTCACGAAGAAATTCTTATGTTCATGCAAGATAAAGATTGACACCACAATGACGCTATGTTTGGAAGAGTAAAAGTGAGGGATTCAAACTTAAGAACACTGTACCAGCTGTCGAGCATGATGGTGGTAGCTTCATGGGTGGGTCTTTTTTGTTGCCAGGAAAGTGGATGCAGTAATGAAGGAAGAATACTTCCGAACTCTTCCAACTTCTGCTCAGATGAACAGCTAGATTGTTGAAACTTGAGCACAAGTTGGAACTGCCTTCTTAAATGGCCTTGTCAAACCCCTGACTTCAACCCTGTTTAAAATTTGTGTACTACACTTAAAAGCCAGGTCCATTCCAGGGAACCAACCAATTTATGAGGAAATGTGCCAAGTGGTTAAACATACAGCCAAAATTACACCAGAACCTTTTTGATTGCTACAAAAAGCGTCAGGTCAAGAACAACTTGTTAAGAGACATTTAACCAAGTAATAATATTTGAGCCTGTGTGGATTTGAGAAAATCCAAAAATAAATTCAGTTGTGCACCGAATTCTTGTTTTGTTTTGTTGTTGTTGTTGTTGTTGTTGTTTTAGAATGATTAAAGATGTATGCTGCACAATTGTTACACCATGGAAAAAAAAATTCATAGAAATTGTTAGAAGCCCAAAATTACCATGATATTTATGACCATGAAGAGTTTAAGTAAACTTTTCACCACAGCTTCATTATTATTGTTTTTGGAGTCCACCTATAACAAAATTTGAAAAGAAAAAAAAACATCCCTGATTTGAATTTAATCATTTGTACAGCACGGGAACTCTTCCAGGAAGTTCCTATTTGACTAGAGCGCTTATAGATCTAGTTTGCATATGGGACCTCCTCCTGTCTGAAGGGGCTACAACTGTGTTAGCTGGGCTAAAACACATTGTACTGGCATATGCTGGCAATTCGGGTAGTTTGCAGAAAACCATCTTCATATATGCCTCAGTTTGTATATAGTAGCCTGTTTGATTTTGATACCCTTTGGGCTTCAACACTCTGGTGGTCAGTTTGGCACAAGTTGAAGTTTGCATGTAATTTGCAATGGCTTTTGATATGCAGAGTTGCAGAACTTTTCAACGGCATTGCTTTCACTGCAATATATCGCCCAGAATAGGAAAATACAATCATGGGACATTAAACAAGCAAGGCCGCTCTGGGTTATCACTCATTGGTTACAACTCTAATAAATGTACTGACTATAGTCACTATGGTCAGTTTACATTTAAAGCAAAAATAGATCAGGTTATTAGCAAATGTAGCCCATAGCCTTGCACTGCCATGTAAAACCTAGCTGGGAGTGTGACAGTACTGAGTCACACCATCTGCCTTTGCCTTCACATGTTGCAGAAGATTTCCTACTCATTTTGTATAGAGAGAGGATGTTGGTGCTTTATTCATTCTCATCCTTGACCACATAGCACAGAAATGTATGTTCATTTTTCCCCCACAAAATCAATAGAAACAGCTTTGCATTGACACTGTAGCAAATACACAAAACCAGACAAAAATAGAAACTCTGCAATCTTATTAATATTTGGTAGTGTGAATAGATTTACTGTTAGAGGTGTGAAAGCCCAAAGCAAGTGTATTTCACAGATCTAAGATGCGAACTTTGGTTCCTAACTGGGGAATTTGAAGTCTTTAAAGCTTTTTGAAAGCTTCCACTCGAAACCTGATGCCATAGGCTACCCTGTTATAATCTACCCTTAGGCTTTGCCTCACTGACGCTTCCCTTTTTTGCCCAAACACGGTTATAAGTACTGAGGCGTTGCGATAGAGTCACCAAACACTGAGAGGTGAAAGCTGCATTCCCTGCCTGAAGTTAAAATGTGGACAAGCACATCAGTGTATAAGATTTAACATTCAGCATCCAGCTCTTATAGTAAAGTTCCTCCCGACCGTAACCGTCTTGACTAACACTGTGCCAGCAGCAGTACTCACTTCCTTTTCGCTACCATGGTAACAGTTGTGGGCTATGAGAAAACAGTGACAGATTGTGTGCCATGTGATGGAGGAGATGTGAGACCTCTGTCGTTTATCAGGAACAACCCGTGACACTCGGTGTTCTGAGAGTTTTCTGACGTATGACTGTACACCTGCAAATAGTTTCAGCCCAAAATTACAATCAAAACCAAGTCAACCATAACATTTCCTACAGTATCCACATAAAATTAGAGTGAGCACTTTCAACCTTTTCATAGCACACATGGATTTTGTCCTGCTTTAAAACTCATTTTAACCTTTTAACTTAATTGTAATGCTTTCAGAGTTTACATTCAAAAATTAAAAAAAATTATTCCCCAAAATACTGACTTTATTAAGCAATTTGCTTACATGTAAATTTTCCATGTAATTTGCTACATATGTACTGTAATAATAATGTAAAACATTACATTTAATGGAATCTGTTGATTGGTGTACATTCGGTTTACACCAAGAATATTCTTTTGTAATGCTTAATTATTTGATTAAACATTTCAGTTGCATTTTACACAAAATTATTGCTTTATGTTCATGAGGGAAAAGTATGTTTCTTCTTTTTTTGTGTGTAATTATGAGATTAAGGATCCAAAATGAACTTTCCAATAGCTATATCTCTGAAACACAAGTGCCCCTGGATATAATAAATAAAAATAATAATATTGTTATTAAAAGAGTTGTAGTTACTATTCCATAGAAAAACAGTATGAGTGGATGTGTCTCTATAAAGATATTTCTCCCTGAAGTAGTTTGGTGTCTGAAGCTTTTCTGGTTTCTCTCAGCGACTATGAAACATGGATGTTGGGACATGACTAATTGTAGGTTCAGTTGCAAAGTTTTAAAGTTTGCATTTTCACTGTAGCCAGCACGGCAACTTAAAACTGGAAGAGCGAGCGGCTAATTTGACTGAGACTTTATCCTCCTTTTTTCAATCTAATGGCAACCATAATTTACAAAATCACCATGATATAGAAAACACTTCAGTCTAGTGACCAATACCATAGAAAGTCTTTATTGAGGTCATGCATCGAGGAAGCCAAGGGGCCATGTTCCCATAGAACCATAAAGGATGTTCTGATGGTTATACTGAGTGTATGATTTCTGTTTCTATTTCCCTCGATGTCCAAATAGCATTAGAGCAACCTTTCTCACATCAAAGTAAATAGTTTGCATGGAAAGCAATAGCCAAAACCTTTGGCTTTTGTCTGAAAACGTAACTCTTCCATTGCTTTTTAAAATCCATATGCATTTCTATCTAATGACTAGTAACTATAACAGGCAAACTCAAACTGAATATACACCTAAACGCCCAATCTGTCGTCCATATAATGGCAGCTGACTAACAGACTGGGATGTGTTTAGACTCAACTGCCATGACACAAATATTTGTGTCATGTTGAAGTGGATGTTAATTATAAACTAGCTAACACAGGGAAACAATATAACAACATAGTTTCACAGCCTTCTTCACTTGTGTTGGAACTACAAAAAAGTGAGCTTCATAGTTTGTTTTCATACCTTTCATTGGTGTTCTCTTTCATATGGTAATACATGAACTCTGGGCTTTCACCTTTATGTTAAAAACAGAGCAAAAGCCTCAGTATAGTATTTTAAAAATAGGATTTCCAGTCATAAAGCTATTAGTCTTTGACCAGATATGGTTCAAATATCCTTTTGAGTAATGGTATGAGGCGCTTACTGTTGTAAAAAATATAAGCTACTGTCCTTTTATTATCAAATCTGATAAGTGATGAAGCAGATTTTCTATGACCACGTCCACTTTTTTTGCCCCACAGTACTCATCATGGTTGGAAAAACTGCTTAAATTTGTTAACAACATCAGGCCATGAGTACAAACCGATGTGACAAAAACCTTTATTAACGTGGAACTGTTTGACATACACAGTCTCTCTATTTTCATCTGAACAAACCTTTCCCAGACTACTCTTTCTGGCTTTTATTTTTTTCACAAGTATTTTCCCCAGTCATTGTCTGTGGGTGATGAGATTATTCCCCTAACAAGGCAGCACATTGAGGGCTGATCTGTTACGCATCAGGTTGTCTGATGACTCCTGTGCTGTCATTTAAGCCCTTGAGTTATTATTAGCTGCCTCAGTACTCCTTTTTAAGGCACAATCTTTAGGAATAAGGCCGTTTACAGAACAGAGCGGGATCGAGGGTTAGAGTGGGGGGTTACTTTTTTCCAGTTTAGTAAACCCTGATGTTGGTGTACAGAGTCAGGCCCACACCTAATTAAAGGATATAGCAGACATGTGACTGAAAACAGAATCCCTTTGCTGGGTAAGCTGTGGAAACTGTTATCCTTTATTTTGACTCATGCCCTTCCTCATGTCTCAGTTAGTCAGTCAGATAAATATAATTCTGACTATATTGGAATAAAAAGAATACTTATAGATGAATGACTACAGTTACTGACTGAATTAGCCAAATTTGGGCAAGAAGTCCTAACATTTCACATCAGAAACAAGCTTAACTTACCTAGACTTTCAGTTAACACATACAGTATTTCAAAGAACCTTGAACTCTGCAAAGTCCTCTAAAGTACTAACACATACCAACATTCTTTATACGTACATATCTCCACACTCACATTACTTTTCTGTCATTGTGTTTGCCTTGCTGTACTATAGTCCACGGCATTTTATCAGTACAAAAAGAAAAAATGATATTGCACACTGTTAAAAAATTATTTTTTTATGTTTGGGTTCAGAGTGAAACAGTAAATTAGTTGATCCAGTGTGAAATAAAGTTTCGGAGCAGCTGAATAGAAAACAGGGATGGTAGCTCTCTTTAAAGGTACCACAGAGTCCTGGATTTGCGCTTTAGACTCAGGTAGGCATCTGAGTGCAGGAATCTGGGGCAAGAGTCTCTTTCCATCAGCAGGTAAACATGTTTCTGGGCCTCGTCAAAGCAGGAAAGGCTCGGTTTCTCAAGCGCCTGCTTGATCTTCTCTCTAACATGCTGGTCTACATTGATCTGAGAAGGAAACAAATGTGACAAGTCAACATATCATCATGTAATGTGTTCCCAAATTATCTGTGTTTGTTTTCATTTTGTAAAAAGGTGCCTGAAAAACGTTAAATCCAAAATATGTACAATCCAAAATATGTACACCCCTGTACCTTCCAGGAGTGTACAAAATACACCCCAGGAAGGAGGTAAGAAAATACTTCTTAATCCTAGGGTTACATTTTTAAGAAAAAAAAAAAGTCTATTTTGTGGTCAATTTTATTACTGGTACAATAAAAAAAAAAAAAACATTAAATCAAACATTAACTTGCTAGCTCTCTTATATGCTTTTCAACTCAGATGAAACTCCATGAAATTCAGAATTCTAGCTACTGAGACAGATCACACACACACACACACACACACACTACTTGTCCCTGAAGAGTTTCCTGTCCTGTTTTGTTTATTTGGATTCTGCTTTTTCTTTGTAATTGAAATACTTCATTCTTTCAAAGAAACATTGAAGAACATATAAAACATTTAGCTTGCCATTTAGCTGAATGATTACTATAGTATTGGTCTTGCTTCACTTCAAGTTGCAACTAACTAAATAAGAAACCATTGTGGTAGTTCCTTGAATGGCTACATAAGTCAGTCCCCCATAGACTTCTATATTTCCAAGAAATACAGCATTCAAATTTTTTTAACAGCCTGCTTCAAAAAAAAAAAAACAAACCCTAACTTTATTCTCGGTGGGTAAAATCCCTCTTTAAGACAATGGGTTTTTTTTTTAAATACCTTATTCATGTGGATGTTGGAGGTAGGAGTGTGACTGCTTATCCTGTCACAGGCAGCTGGTGGCCCAGTTATTAAAGTGGACTTCTTACTCTTCCCTTTGTTTATTGTGTTATTGCCTTTTAGAGGACTTTAATTAAATTACCTAACAAATAATATAGCATGCTGTGAGGTACATCCTGTATTAGAAGTTTGTGTTTCAATTTACGATTGCAGGTTGCTAACCTAGCACGCTAGCTATAGCTCATAACTTAAGACTCCAAACTCCAAATATGGCCACATCTGACTCCAAAAAACTAACATAAATATCTGATCCTATAATAATGTGTAGTAGAATTGGTATCCAAGTGTACGTTGCTTGACAACCCTACATGATACATGTGCTGCTTACTTGTCACCACTAAGTGATTTCTTACTAGGAATGTATATATTGTTTGTGCAGTCTGTGGTTCACAATGGGAAAATTCTGTGCCATATTTGAAATGAATAAAACACTACATAACCTCCCTCCATACTCTTCTACTTTGGTACTTTAACTTGTTTGTTGGTATTTTTACGTGTTCGGTATTGTTCTTACTGTCTTGTACAGAAGAGGATTAGGGCCACTGAAAAAAAAAAAGAAAAGAAAAAAAAAAGGGGGGGGGGGCACGTCTTTTTTTTTCTTCTTTTCCTGAATTCTGAGAAAAACGTCAGAATTCTGACTTTTTTCTCAGATTTTTTTTCCAGTGGCCCTAATCCTCTTCCGTAGTCTTGGAGCAACTGTGACAACTTAATTATCTCTGGGATTTCTTAAAGTATTCTGATTCTGATTCAGTGCATCTTCCCTGAAAATATGGCACAGCAAATACTGTACTAAAAGCACCAGAAGCACTGGAAGTTATGAAATTTGGTAATCATCTGCATTGCTTCACTGAATTTGTAAAAGTTTTGTACAGTTTTTCCTCTGATGCAATCATACTTTCCTCTTTTCTGTAATGCCAGTTTGATAAAATGCAGTTTATATTTGGGCTTACTTTTAGTAGTTACTCAGAAAGTCCAAGAAAGTAATTTCTTCTTTTAAGGATGAAATATTATTCAGCTCTGGTATAACGGACAAACTGACCTCTCTGCAGGCTGTAGGCTGGATGAACTCCCGGTAGAGCTCCTCTGCTCTCCATTGAAGGTCTTCTGGTGAGGTAGTCAACCTGAACTCTTCACATGCGAGCCAGAACTCAATGTTTTCCTCACTGAACTCAGACTGCAGAAAAGAGTGGAATGCTGCTAAATACTCTGCAAAGAGGGAAAGGGTTAAACATACAGAATTATTCATTAAGTGAAATTCATTTGTAGAATCACATGGCTCAGTTTTGTGAAGAGTAACACTTCTTACTTTTGTCCTTTAGCAGTTTTTCCAGGTGAAGTTTATGGTCAGTCTGACAACTATAAGGAAATGATATATGGCTATTATTTTCTTTCTAATATACACCATGGAGATGAAAATAACTAACAATTCCAATCATATGATACCTTAGCTTTGAAGAGTACATCTCATCATTACATTTCTGTACACTGACACACTGGATATCCTTCTTACGCCTCCTGCAGTTCAGTACAATGTCAATCCTTAAAAACAAAATCAAGTTGAATATGTTTGTTAATGTAAAGTTTATAAATGTAAACTTAGTATCATTAGTGTGCTTGGCTTACCTTCGTGGCCGCTTCATGTTGGGCATTAAATCCTTAAATTCGTAAAGTCGAATCCTTGAAAATAAGAGTTTGGGCATTTTAATATCCCTGTAATTCCCTGTAGGGCGATACAATAGCCTGCTGTGATATGTGTAAAAGCACTGTTCCCTCCTGGGCTTGTCCTTAAACTGCCAGGAAAGGTATACTTATGACGCTGTGGGCCTGCTGGTACCTGTATCTAAACGCCAATTGGATACGAATACAAATGTCTGTTGTTAGACTCATCTACCCTTGTTACTGACTCACAGCTGTAAAATTCCTATGGGAGAAATTTTTTTCTGTTACTCAGATTTCTGGAAAAAGGTATTTAGGTGACTGATTGACTACTTGATGTGTGTGTAGTCCATATAGGGCGATATAAGCGCTTGCCTTTTTGTCTTTTGCTTGTCTGTATGGAGATTCTAGATGCACTACCTATGCCATATTTTAAATCAGTACTTCACAAATGGTGTGCCGAGACATGGGTGTGCCGTAAGGGAAGTCCAGGTGTGCTGTGGGATCTTGTGAGAATCATAATTCATTGTTACAATGAATGGCTGGACAAAAGTCACGAATTAGCAGTTAATTTACTGATCAGTTGTTTGTTGTTTGTTAAAGGCAACCGACTGACTGTGACTGACAAGATTTTCTTGTGTGAAAGAGGCTATGATTAATTAACCACCAGCAGAGATGACCCACAATCTTAAAAACTCAGAAAAAACACCTGTATTGGGATGTAAACATGCAGTAAAACAGGGATTGGATATTGTATCTATGTCCATTTTTTGTTGCTATGTGATGACATAAAGAGAAAAATGATGAGAATTCAACCAATTGGTGAAGATGTGATAACACATACAGTGAGCCCAGAGGTATTGGTACAACAGGTCAAATAATCTTGAAAAGGAAGGGCGCCAAGGAGATGATGCCATCAGATGAAAACATAGCTGACAATGGCTGCAGTGAACAATGTCAACTGTTTTTAACACTGTTTCACTCAAACATTTTTGACACTGTTGTAGCAGTGATATAGTATAGAGCTGTTATATGTCTACAAAGCATCTACGGATTACCAAGACAATCCTATGCATCCACATATTTTTTTTTCCCCATCAAAAATACCTATAACCTCATCTTCTGATGCTTCTTGCACACACTTGTTGCCAGGTTACAAATAAACATTTTCCTTCCTAGTTCAATCTCCACATTAGTTGGCGAGAGACATTAAACATGGATGAGCGCAGAGAAGATTCAAAAGTTGAATCGTTTTGAGCTGAGTGCAGAAGCAAAAATAAACTTGGGGTTTTTCTTGTTGCCGAGGACTGTGTGAACACGGAATTTCATTTGTCTAGATTTGTCCAGAACATTAGGCACTACAGGTCAGTTTGGATTTGTAGGCACAGGCCCTAAGCCACCCATTGGCAAACATTAGCTAATGCTATCACTGTGCACAGAAAATAAAGAGGAACCAACCATCCCTTCAGAGACAAACCTCACCTATTTCTGAATCAGAGTGCTGGATCTGAATCAGAGGGAGCAAAACTGTGAAACTGTCTACATGACAGTCTTGATTTTCAAAATATTAAAGGTATTTGATGAATTGGACAAACAGACTTGTACATTTACTTGTGTAAAACAATAAAAGTAGAAACAAAGACAAGGCATAAAAAGACTAGCAGTTTTCAAGCACATTCCAAAGTACCACACCCTTGAATCACTCTTTTTGCTAATTTGATTAAATGATAAGTTAAATATATTCTGCATACCAACAATAAATTGAACGTCATGGTAACAAGTGGCTTTCAAGTGAGAGCAGCATAACTCTAACACCCTAAATATTGGGTTGCAAGGCAATACATTGTAGAGCTAATGCCCTCTGATTTTAAGCAGGCTCCTGTACAATTGACCACCAAGTTGGGCCTTTGAAGGTACTGTTGAGGAATAGGGCCCAATAAGTCATTTGCAGGAAGCTCTTTAGATCAAAGACAGCATTATTTTTGTGCTGGCTGTAAGAAGGACAACCAAAAAATGAAAAAGAATAACTCAAAAAAAGCTGTTTTGAAAACTGTGAAGGTCCGAAAAACATGCGCACAGAAACCGAAACATGCACTGAGTCATACAAGGACAGAGTAGCAGCATTTTAAGGCACAGGAAATTAGTAGGGAAGTTTCTATAAGTACTGAAACTCCTGAAGCGAGTGACCCAGACAGTTCTGAGAACAACTCCTAAAACGCAAATGTCCCCTCTTTACTGTCCCCATCAGCCTTAACATGCAAGCCTTAAACTATATGTGTAAACCGGCAAGACAATGTTCCTCTTCTCTGATGACCCATATAGATATACTAATGGAAATTTTACAACACACAAAGTCGGTGCTTGTGTGCATTTTTGGGTGGGTGTGTTAAATCAGGTGTATCCATTTGGTGCTTTTCAAGATTCCCTCAGGGGTCTCGTCGTTGGGTTTACTGCTGTGTTTGTGGTTAGGAGAATGTTGAAGTGGGTTTATTTCAAACTTTCCCCTCTAACACTACAGGAGCCGTAGCAGATGCACGTGTGAAGCTGGAGATTTAAATTTTTAGTAGCCGACACCCTTAATATTGCATGCTTGACTGAACTGCACTTTCACACCAGGGCATGAGAAAATCCACAGAATACAGAACAGCTCTTTGTTAATCAATGTCTTCATCATGGGTCCATTGAGTTTGTGAAATTGCAACGTTGTGTTGCAAGTTCATTAAGTTGTAACAAATGGAAATGGTATTTTAATAGTCTATATAAAGTATAAGCATTATACAATACTGTACAATCTGGATTATCATTGTTACATTTATTAGCTTTGATATATTGCCCACTTCCAGGTTAATGTCTCTTGTACACCCAAATAGGTTGTTAATCTGCTACCTGTGCACAAGCTATAGATAATAGCATGGCTAGCTAACTAGATTCAACAATAATCTTGTAACATTCAAAAGAAATAAGAGTTTTTGATAATGTAGAGAAACATTCAGCGAGGCTATCAATCGCATTTAAGAAAATCTATATCAAAATTGTAAGCCATAGATTATTAGATTTTTTTTCCTATTGCTGTCCTAACTCCAGAAGCAGTGTTTATTACCATGCCTAGCTACCTACTAGCTTCTGCAGTGACCTTGTAACCAGGTGTTTTTCAAAAGGACAAGATTTACATATACTTATTTTGTGAGTCAATAAATGGAATATGTATGTAGAGATAATAGTTAAATAATGAACCAAGATGAAAATATACAGTTGTCTAGAAAGAAAATATTATAGGGTCATTTAGACTAAATGCAATGGCATTTACTGAACAACTGGTTACACAAAGTATTTTTTTCATCTGCGTTCTATTGACAATAATTTAAATCAAACTTCACATTTTTTTCTATGTTAAAGTGTAGCTTTTGCCAGAAACAGGATGTGTTTCAGGTGTGATACACGTAAAAGTTCTTTATTTGCAGCTGTTCAACATAAGTAGCAAACATGACTTTTAAAGTTTCTTTTAAGTTTAAAGTTCCTTTTAAAGTAAGTTTAAAGTGGAAGTATTATGTAGGCCTGTACATTTATATATGATAGAGGATACTACAGCATCTGCTGTGTTACAGGAGAATTATAGACTAAATGAAATACACTAAACAAGGGAAAGCCTCATGCTTTAACATATGCTGAAATCATTTCTTTAGTCAAATGAATGTAAATAATATGACCCGAATAAAGGCTAAAATAAATTATGATAAGTCCATACAATTCAATTTCTAAACTGGAACTCTTTGGACCATGGATAGAATTAGAAAGGTAAGGGTTGTATGACTATCCCAAGGATCAAACATACAGAAAGGACAAACACATTGTAGAAATGGTTCATTTTACTATAGGACTTGTATTCAGCATTCTTTTAAATAATAGACATTGAAACATGATTTTAAAGCAGCATTTAAGATTCCCAGTGCATGAATTAACCTCAGCAATTAAGGTAATTTCTAATAAAATAGTAATCCCAAGCATGCCTTTATCAAGTATGTGAAATATCTGAATTTGAATCCCACTGAAAGTCTCTGTGGGATCCACAGAAAAAAGCAGTTTAGGTATAGAAAATTAGTAAGCTGGAAGCTTTACCTTAAGGAATAAGCTAAAACTGGAAGTTTAAATGTGTTTGAGGATTGAATTATTTTCCATTTTTTAAAATCAAGTCTCAAAATATATCTTAAAAATGCTTTATTTAGTCATCTTTTTGAAATAGTTTATCATGACTGGCTGATATTTTTTCACTGAATTAAATTTGCATTAATATCTTGGTTAATTTATTTATCTCACCCTGCTTTGTTTTTATAGCCTTTAAAGTAAATGTTCATGTGTGCCTGGGCCGGCTTGAGATTTTGCAAATGGGCAACAACCTGCTACATGAATTATTTCCTGTTAGTATTTTTTATACTTGATGCCGTTTCTAAATGAAAATGAAAGGCAAATGATAAGAGAGCAGAAAGAAGAGCAACAGCTAGCCAGCTTATCTCAGCGATCCTGACACAGATTGTATTCCTTATAAGGTAAACTACACGGGATCCATTCAGTGGCCCAGGTGTCATTCACGAGCCATTACAACAAAACCACTCCACAACTTCATAAAAGTATGATTGGAGTCATAAAATATTCAAGAGATTACATTTTTTTCATGCAATTTACAAAAAAGTGGAAAAAACTGCTCTGTGCTAATTAGCTTGCGATGAGTGACGCTAGTAATGAGACGTGTTCAAGTTAACAAAACAGGTTTCAGTTGTGCCCTTTTTGTTCTCGAATCGTTTTCAATTTAAATATATAAAGTAATACGATTTTAATAGACTAAAATCTCAATTGTTTGTATATAGATGGTGAAAAATTTGAACTTCCGCAGTGAAACACTGGAGCTTACTCGGTCAAGAGGTGGGTTATCAATGAGACTCAACCTTTTGATTACAACACATTAAAAAAAAATGCAGGGCAGGGCACTTCCAGTTCTGCGGCTGCCTGTGACACTTGCAAAACATTGTGGCTCTAGAGCCTTGTCTTCTTCAGTCTAAGACATCAGCTAGACTGACTGACAGTTTATATAAAAACA